TTAGCCAGTTCATGCAGGTTTCTTGCATTGACCACTGGAATGTCATCATCCATATCTTGAGGTATCTAAAAAAGACTTTAGGAAAATGATTGTTATATGAAAATAAAGACAACATTAAAATATTGTGATGCTGATTGGGTTGGATCCCTTTCTGAAAGATGCCCTACTACCAAATATTGTGTTTTCCTTAAAGAAAATATTTTTTCTTGGAAAAGCAAGAAACACACTATAGTGGCCTGATCAACTGCCAAAGTTGAATATAGGACAATGACATCTCTTACTTGCGAACTAGTGTGGGTAAAACAATTTCTTCAAGAGTTCAAATTCTGTGAGATTCATATCATGAGAATGTAATGTGAGATTCATATCATTCTCAGATCTATAAAGATACAAAAGACTAGGTAGAAAACTTATTTATCTTACCATTTTTAGACCTGATTTGTCTTTCATAGTTGGTGTTGTTAGCCAGTTCATGCAGGTTTCTTGCATTGACCACTGGAATGTCATCATCCATATCTTGAGGTATCTAAAAAAGACTTTAGGAAAATGATTGTTATATGAAAATAAAGACAACATTAAAATATTGTGATGCTGATTGGGTTGGATCCCTTTCTGAAAGATGCCCTACTACCAAATATTGTGTTTTCCTTAAAGAAAATATTTTTTCTTGGAAAAGCAAGAAACACACTATAGTGGCCTGATCAACTGCCAAAGTTGAATATAGGACAATGACATCTCTTACTTGCGAACTAGTGTGGGTAAAACAATTTCTTCAAGAGTTCAAATTCTGTGAGATTCATATCATGAGAATGTAATGTGAGATTCATATCATTCTCAGATCTATAAAGATACAAAAGACTAGGTAGAAAACTTATTTATCTTACCATTTTTAGACCTGATTTGTCTTTCATAGTTGGTGTTGTTAGCCGGTTCATGCGGGTTTCTTGCATTGACCACTTGGAATGTCATCATCCATATCTTGAGGTATCTAAAAAAGACTTTAGGAAAATGATTGTTATATGAAAATAAAGACAACATTAAAATATTGTGATGCTGATTGGGTTGGATCCCTTTCTGAAAGATGCCCTACTACCAAATATTGTGTTTTCCTTAAAGAAAATATTTTTTCTTGGAAAAGCAAGAAACACACTATAGTGGCCTGATCAACTGCCAAAGTTGAATATAGGACAATGACATCTCTTACTTGCGAACTAGTGTGGGTAAAACAATTTCTTCAAGAGTTCAAATTCTGTGAGATTCATATCATGAGAATGTAATGTGAGAATCATGTTGTGTTTCACATTATCTCTAATCCAGTATTTCATGAGAAAACGAAATGTATTGAGATTGACTAGTATTTCGTTTGAGAAAAGTTGGTGACTAAGGAAATTTGTACAAAATTTATTAGATCTAATTATCAACTTGCAGATGTGTTAACAAAATTATTAAAAAGTCCTTAAATTGAGTTTATTTGTTGTACATACAATATATGTATGCTCTAATTTGAAGGAAAGTGTTGAAATTATTAACTTATGAATGATATCTACATCTACACTTATGTTTCTAGATCAACTTTAGTCAATTGACTTTTTATCTATTCATTGTATATACTTTATCATTATAAATAAGTGAATTATATTTGAAATGTAATTAAGTCTCTAAAAGCATATTTTTTCTTCTTTTTCACTCTTAAGTCTTATTTTTTTTCACATATTCTTTTCTTATTATTAGATACTCTAAGTTTATTATTTCTTCAATTATTTATTAATTAAAATGTGCATTTTTTAAAGAAAATTATTTGATAAATAATTCATTCTTTCTATAATTCATACATTAATAACTTATTATTATTAACTATTAAAAAATGTTGTTTATAACTAACGTTTGAATTTAATGACATTATAAAAAATAGTTAATTGAGTAATATTTAACTAAAAAAATATTTATAAATTTATTATTTTAACATGTCCATTAATAAATATTTTCATATTATATTTTCTCATCAAAATTAATATAAATGTTCTCATATTAATAAAATACATAATATTTTAACATTTTACATGGTGAATGTATCTTAATTTTGATTTTTTTTAGTGAGCGTAATTTTGATTATTTATATAATGAGATAAATCTATTGCAAATATTTATTTGTTGCGTATAATTTTTTTCGGTTACAAGAATAATAATTGTAGTATTTCGACTTAGTAATGAATTTATATATACGAAAATTTCTTGATTTTGCTAAAATTATTATTAAGTATGTAAAATTTTTTTATTTTATCTTTATTTTTTTATATATTTAAATCCGTTGACTGTGGTTTTATGTAATATATTTATATGTAATTTAGAATATATATATATATATATATATATATATATATATATATATATATATATACCTAATTTTATATTATTTGAAAATTAAATTGCCAGTGACTACGACTTTCAATCTTTAATTATTTAACAAGTGTCTAAGTTCTTTATATTTTTGTTGTATTATTTAGATATTATGAATTCGTAACCATTTGGTACTAGTATATTTATTGGAAATAAGTGATGGCGATCAGAAATAACCACAAGATATAAACAAATTAGGTAACATCAATTAATAATTGCGCAGGTGAAACCAAACACCAAATTTTTTCATAATGAATACTTTCCGTAATTAAATTTTAACTTCTGATTTACTTCTGTTATTGAAATATTCTTTTTTTCTTTCTCTCTTTCTTAACCCATTTTAGCAAATTACGTTCTTACATTTGCGTAGTTAAGTAACCAAGAACTCAATTAAACTTAATACTTGCCATGTAGGACAATATTTTAGGATTTTTAGTACTCATTTTTATTTTTGTGGATGAGTGTATTCAATTGGGAACAACACTAAATAATATGAATCTTAGTGTGTACGTCTGTCTCTCTCTATATAATTTAATGGTTGAATTAATTAATAAAATTGTAAATTTCTAGAATGTCACTTGAAGTGGTTTTTCCTCTTCCAATTGTCAATTTATTTACATATTCTACATTATCTAATTTGGACTCAATTTATAACCTTCCAAACTTTTTTCATAATTTTGTAATCCCATATATATATAACTAGTATCATCTTTTGTACCTGTTGCACCAACTAAACACATTGTTGGAATGTGATTTCACACAAAAACAATACCACAAGTTCCTGTTAATATGTGATAGCTTTACACAACCATATTGTTCTAGTGAATGCCACATAATGATTAGATATATAAAATTATGCGGTGATGCTTCTTAAATGCTTCAGCCATTACATAAATTATGCAGCTACCTTATATGCATATCCATTCTGATAACATCTACACCTACGTGAAACGTACACAGACAAATGTCTCGTGTGGAAACTAGTCCAGGTGCCACACTCTCATGTAACACTGATCACAGCCCACAAAATGTGTCATGCATGTAAAATAGCTAAGAGCATAGGACCACCGGGTAGGTTAGCTTCCCATCAACACATTTAGTTAGGTCTGATTCATTATCATAGAGCACCATGCCCCCATATATCTAAAGTCCTTTTTATGCAACAGAAACCCATGTGGCCACATCGAATTCTTCAATCACCATAAATGGAAGCTGCATGTGAGGGAGGGTGGCACTTATTACGAGATAATAACAATGCAAGAGGAAAGAAGGGTAGAAGAGAGTATGTCCCTTAATGTGGCACGTGCGTCCTCCCATGTTAGTGCCCTTTAAAGGTGACCATTTTCAGGTGCTTCTTCCTCATGACAAATAGTTTAGAGGACCTGAAGCCATTAAATTAGCACCTCCTTTAGTTGCTGGATCAAGAAATTCATGTATTGAGATATTTATGCAAAATTAATTAACCTATGTGGAATATATATGGTATCTACTGAAATCAAGTGGTGCATCATGGGAATGTGTACAATATTACATAGCATTGTTTACATGTGTAGGGTAGAGTCCTAACCCGATATACCAGAAATCAAAGGCTAGCATGTACCACAAGCCAGTTGGGATAATCATGATGTTTTACTCATCATTTCTCAATTGAAACGATGGTTTACTTATCATTTCTCAGTTGAAGATTACGACTAACTAACTATAAAAAAACTTTAACTGGCTGCTGAAGATTGTATTATACATTAGCAAGCCCCTCATGTAAGAAAAAAAAAAGGGTTTGAAGTGTGTACTCAGATTTGGATTTCTACTAGAAGAAAATGAATGTGTCAAGGATAACTCTAGATTTAGATCATTTGATTATAGAATTTCAAACTGGATAAATTCTTTTTTATTTTTTTATTTTGCACTATTACGAGTGATGGTAGTTAAATATGAATTTGAAGTTCTATATTGAATGAAAATGAAAAAATTGGATAATTTATAATAAAAAAAAAACCTATAATCTAATATCTGTAGATCCTTATTTGGGTTGGGTGATTTTTCTCCCAAATGGACACCCTAAATGGCCAACAGTTAATCCACTCCCAATAAATCTCTATCGAAAATACCTATTGAGCTGAATGAGAAATAACCTCGAAAGATCCATCAACTAGTCCTTCGAGATCACTAAAATAAGTTTTATTTGTCCTCTAAACAAAATCTATTATATGGATATGATAAAAATAAAATATTTATAAGCATGTTTAAAACTTCCAATTATCTCTTAATTGTATGAATTTTGTTAGCATTGAATTTTTTATATTACATTGCATTTCTGTTATTGTTGTTGTTTAGGCATGGAGAAATGGTCAAAACAGTTAGGTACAGAAAATTGGAAAGTTTGTGCTTAAAAGTGTGAAGTTAATATCGATTATTGGTCAATAAACAAGTTGCATAGTTGAGGTTAACTGTTGCATATAAAAAGAAACTCAAGCTATTATGACTTCATTTGTGATTGGCACTCTTACTTGAACCAGAAATCAGGACTAAACCATTTTCTATCTCCTCTGCAATCTCAAATCAGAGTCAGTGACAACAACTCTCACAGTTCCAATCAAACAAAGATGGTTAATGCTAAATCCGAGGTTCACCAGAAGAGTGTCCTTCAAATCAAGCAAGATGACAAGTTCTTCTGCAGGCTACTCTCAAAGGAAAGTTCTATGTCCAACCCTTCTTTCAGGATAGCCCTTGCTGTGCCATTTGTGTGGGAATCTCAGCCAGGTACCCCCAAACACACATTCTCAGAGGATACTCTCCCTCCTCTAACTCCTCCACCTTCTTATCATTTTAACATCAATGCCTACAAAAAGAAAGAAAAGAAGCACTCAAAGTCCAATCTCTTGCTGACTCTGCTACCAAAACTGAACCTCAAGAAAATGATTCTCTCATCCTCATACTCTTCATGGTCGTCATCATCAAGCTCCTCCAAAGTTGTCCCTATGGCCAAGTTTGGCAAGAAGAAGCTCTTAGGCTATGGATCATCTAATGATACTGAGGGAGGTGATGCTAGTTCACCCTCATCGAAATTATGCTTTAGCATTCCTCGGGCCACCAGTTCTTAAGGTAATTAAGACTTATCACAGCTTGGCCTTGGATCTGGACAGCACAATGAACTGCTTATATAGTTTTTCTTTGTAAATTTTCTGTCTAATAATACTCTTCATATTTAGAAGGCAATATATTTTATGTGCTAGAATTGATCTTTGAGAGTTTTTTCCTCTCAAATTACAAGCTTTCTTCCAAGATCATATATTTTCTGGTGTGTGAGTGTATCTTAAACATTTTGTGCAGTTTGAAATGGTCATAGTTCCATTTTTTGTTTTTGGAAATGTGCTGAAACAGAACCGTGTAAATGACTTTTGTGGAACCTCATATTAAGCAAGAAATGTGGTTGTTATTGTAGTGGTGGTGATAAACTTATAAAACACGTAATAACAGAACATTTAGTGGTGGAAGGTTTACTAATCCTCTTGCAGCTGGACGCTCTTTAAGCATTGGATTGGCTTGTGCCCAATTAATTACGCTACACTTTTACTTTGAGAGAGGGGAAGGAGAAACACCTTAATCAGCATCTTTGACTAATGCTTTTTCTTTTCACCAATACTGCTACCATAGGGTCTTTGCTTTGTTTGTCTTAATGATTTTATTTATTGCAAATAGAAGAACTGGTGGAATTTACTTTAACTGGTGGAAATTGCAAAGAGAAAATGTTTAACAATTCCAAATTCAGGATATGCTACAAGTTTCAGCCACGGTAATTATCACTTAATGAATCAATTATTTTAAAAGTAGTTTCAACCGAATGTAAATCGAGGGTGTAGGGTTAATTTGACTTCATCTACTGCAAGACCAAACAAGCACTAAGTTGCAGCAATTTTATCTAACTTATTTGTTAAATAAAAAAATTTATATAAAATTTTACTACTTCTCAAACACACAAATTAGTTATAATCATGCTACCAATTTGGCTTGAATGGCCTGACGGGTAGCTTCAATATTTAGAATAATTTCAGAGTTCATTTCCTTTTCTACTGGCCTTAATGGCTTGTTGCTGAGTCGTGTTGGTAAAGAAACACTACATTTACTTCGGGTTTCCTTTCGGTTTAACATTTCCTTTGTGTCACGGTCATGGATTCTTATACAAACCATTACCTAATGAAGGGAGGGACACATCTTCAGTTTATGCAATTTATTAAAGAAATAAAAAGTTCTTTGCACACCATGAAACACCAATCAAATACAGATTAACATTACATCAGATAAGCAAACAGAAACTACTTTTGTCTTTCGTATATTTACTTCAAAGAAACGTACCAACTAAAAGAACTAGTCATTGCCAATTTTACAATGTATTATTAATTTATTATTGTTCAGAAAATTTGAAAAAAGTGTTAGTTAACAACAGCATCTCTGTACCGACATTTTGATATGATGCAATAGCACGCTGCCAGAGCTAGAGATTGGAGGGTACAAAACAACTTGAAACTTGTTTGAAATTGTTTAAGCAAATTTGTCGGAAGAGGAACTGGTAATGGCTTTATCTTGTCCCGGGTTCCATGTGCATATGGGCCATATATTGTGTAGCATATTAGTAACACACATAACTATTAACTAATAACCGTGGCACTTTCATAATAATTCTAGTCTCTAGAAATTAAAGGGAATGGAATATTATAATTATATGGTCCCTTGAGATTTTCCAGTGATCGAAGAAGATCTCCAAGAAGTCATCAACCTCAACTTTTGATTTTTCTTTCCCCTATTCACCCGGCAAAAGACGCAGAATATTCTTTACTCTGTTTGTTTCGACCAGTTAAAATGCTACACCACAGAGTTTCCCTTACTTTCAGCTCAATTCTATGTGATTATGCTCATAGATTAAATTTTTTTGTTCCTTAGCAAGTTCTTCATATGTTATCTTGCCCTCACCAACTGAAGATTTTATAGGAGACAAAGGATAAAAATTTTGGCCAACATGAACAAGAAGAAAAGCAGTGTCAGGTTAAAAACTTAAGATGGACACCTATTTTTTCAAGGCATACGTAAATCTGCTATTTCATTCATCACTTAATATGTGGCTGTATTTACAAATTAAATTTTACAATAATCACCATATAGTCCAAAAATATTGACGTGAGTATTTTCACCAAATTGGCATGTAGAGAATTACAGAAGTAAAAACGGTTATGTATATCCTATGATTAGAATAAGGTAGAGAAGGACTGTTAATCTAAACGTAACATGATCTTAGTGCTTCTTCATCGATTCTGGTCACCTGGTGTATTGCATTTGCCAAATAAGCCACATTGCTTGTGGTCACACCTGCCATGCTGCAAGTATCACCAAGGAGTTATATGGGAAGAACATTCTCTAGTGCAGTCAAAATTATCAAATTAAGGAAGAGAAAACAAATTGAGAATTTAATTCTAGTAACTACGGTTGAATTATTAGTATTTCATTTAAAGAACACCTTATTCTTCCATCAGGGGTCATGTATATATGGAACAGCTTCTCCAGCTGTTTAACCTGATCAGGGGTTAATCCAGAAAAACAGAACATGCCAACCTGTATTTGTATTTGCATCAAAGTGTACAACTGTGAGCTAAAGTTATAATATGATTCCTCAAACATAAGGTAACTAATCAAATATACAAAACCTGAGAAGTTATATGCTCCCAATTGAGAGATGAATCCAAGTTCTGAAGACAATGTCGAAGGGTAGTTCGCATAGTTTCAATCCGATTAGCCATGACCTTCAAACAGCATTGCCATAAAATTTGATTAGATTCTGAATTAATTTAGAAAAAAAAAGTTACAGAAAGGAGTTAAGAAGATAAATATTACCTTTATTTCTTTCCTCCAAAGTGCTTCTACATCAGAGTCGCTTAATATGTTAGCAACTAGAGAGACACCATGAAAAGGAATGCTGCTGTACATCGCATGGGACATCAACTGCAGTTGACTTTTAAGTGCAGCTACTTGCTTTATACTCTGGCACAAAATACTATTATAGATTTTAATGTAGATTAGTAAAGCTGATAAGAACGTGAGAAAAAACAGCAGACAAATGGAAACATCATTACAAAGTTGAGCTTCATGTCATATATCATCATATCATGTAGTTGATCCTTGCCTCAAAAATGCATTATGGAACATATTTGACATCTAACTTCTTTTTACATGTCATCGCAAAATGCTATGCCTCTAAATATCTAATCACTACTGTATAGCACTTTTCTTACCTAAGACAACCAACTTTATGCTCAGATAATCCCATGTTCTTTGAAAATGATTGTGAACAACCTATCAAGTGCCCATCTTCAACGAAAATTCGAAGTGCTATGGCATCCTTGTCAAGATCCCCACTAGAAAATCCTTGATAAGCCATGTCAAAAAAGGGGAAATGATTTTTTACCTGAAAGATAATTAACGTTAGAATGGTATAATTGATTTAGAGTATGGTACAAAGCTATGATGAAGCATCTTATTTCTCATTATCACCTTAAATTGGTATGATATTTCTCTCCATTGTTCCTCAGTAGGGTCAACACCAGTTGGATTGTGGGCACAAGGATGAAGTAAGAAGAAAGAAGAATCTGGTGCATTCTGAAATTACCCACACAGAATAAACAGAGAAGATTAAATGTTGCTTATACCACTGTTGCATAGGAAAATAAAACATCACATTGTCAACTTCAGATGGTTTTCAAGCTCAGCCCAATTTGTTTAGAAACAAAAGTGACATTTCATTGGTTAACATTAAATGCATCTATTTTACCATAATAATATAGCTTGTTTATTTGTTTGAGAGACAAGAAGCATGAAATTGATACCAAAGCTTTTCATCTATTCTAAATAGAAGTTACTATTGTTATAAACATCATCAATAACTTTGATAAGTACACTTTCAATACCTTGACATCTTGTAGGAGTGCGGCAAAATCTAAACCCCTCGTATCTGGATGGTAGTAGTGAAAGGTTTTGACTGGAATTTCAGCTTGTCTCCATATATTGTGGTGACTACAGGATATAAACTTTGGGCATTAGATATTGAAAGAACGTATATATTTCAAAAATTAATCCAACGCCAAAAGGACATACTTTGACCAGGTAGGGTCTGGTAGATACATTTGAGCGTCAGGATAGAAATGTCTTTGAAAGTCAGCAAAAAGTCTACATGCCGCAGTTCCAGACAGAGTTGGAACTCCTGCAAACAATCCTTCTCTTACAACATATGAATCATTCCCATATGCCAATTTTACACACTCCTGAACAAATTTTGATCTGACTGCGGACGAGTTTAACTCCCTGCAACAAATAATGTTAATTCGCTTTTGAAAAGTACAAAACTATTCATAGAAGCACTTTTTCGAAGAGTGTGATACACAAATTCAGGAGTGATAATGCAAACAACACAATTCGTGGGAGAGAATTTCAATACTATTAGTATTGCACGAAATCTGCAACTGCCACAAAACTTTTACTCCACATAGCTGTGGTCAAAGTTACACTAGAAGGTAATTGAACCCCACCATGAATTCATCCTCGAGAGAACTTTCTCTACCCTAATCAATATTCTGCTAATTGAATGAATTGGATGAATATTATTTACCGAATAATTTATGGTATCTACTTGTCAAAAGTGCAGAAAAGGACCACATCTCATTTCCACTAATATTTTAAGTAGCGTTGTTTTCATCTTATATATATATCTCCAACAATTCAAAAACATAAGTTCAAATGGATCTTCTATCGAATGGTGTTTCTTGTTAAGGTTCCAACATAAAACCAATTGGCAATATTTGGAGTAGCCTAACATGTATTTAAACCATACCAAATGATATGAGGTAGGCGATGTGGGACTTTCAACACACCCCCTCCAACGAAGCCCGCCGGACCAGGCAAAGGGTACTTTTGACCCAACTAAAGGGCAACTTTTGGCCCATGACAATAACCGAAAAGATGTTAGGCTTTGGCTCTGATACCATGTTAAGGTTCCAACATAAAACCAACATAAAACCAATTGGCAATATGTGGAGTAGCCTAACATGTATTTAAACCATACCAAATGATACGAGGTAGGCGATGTGGGACTTTCACCATTCCTATTTAAGAATACAATGTGAAATTTGGTTAGTTACTTCACTTTAATGCAAGGAAGGAACAAATCAGCTAACTAAGAAACTGTGCGAAATGATAGAACTAGACCAGCTTGGTAAATAATATATAAATTAACAAACTCCAAGTTGTTTCACCTTATTACATGCAAGTTGTCAGACACCTATATATACATGTAATCAATCTACACATGATAATCAATTTCTGGAATTAAAAAACCTTAGATCAGAAGAAGGAAAATCCAAGCATACTCACTCCAATTTGCATCTCTGAATCTTCATTTCTGCATCACGAACGCATTGAGGAATGAAAGGTTTTCCATCATCACCCCTGTAAGTTCCCTTACAAAGTAAAAAAAAACCAGAAAAAAAAAGAAAATCAGTGATGACAAAATATGGAAGATGGATAGATTTACTAAAACTATAAGCATATACCATTCCAAGATTGATCTTGTGGGGAAAAGGGTCAGCTAGAAAGGCCTCGTTGACACTGACAATGGGGTCCTTTGGGGCTGTTCTCACATGGTCCCACCAGCCATGGGCACTGGCACTGGCACAAGAAGTGGATACAAATCTTCTGGATATTCTTCCATAGATGTACCTCCACATAATGCTACACTCTTATCTTATAAATTATAATATACGCTGTGAACTCAGTGAAATCTTGCTTGGTTTGTTGAAGCAAGAAAAATTCTTTGGAATGGTTATATAAGAAGAGGAAAGGGGCAGAAGAAGATGGTGGAGAGTAAGCTTTCCCTTGCCGTGGTTTTGCCATTGGTCTTTTCAAGGAGTTCTATGTGCCGCTTTGGTTTTTTATGGTTTCTTTGCATGGAAAAAACAAAGGTGGGCTCATTGTTTTGACTTGCTTATTATCAATTTATTTACCCTCAGACTGTCATCTGTATAATACTTTTTGTGACTGGACTGCACCATGTTATATTAAATTATGATTTTCTTTTAATAATATACTATGTTGTTACAAACATTTTTTAAATATTTTTGCTATAAAAAATAAGAAAATATAAATTATTTTTATAATGCGTATAATTTAAAATAAAAGTTTAGAAAGATTATATAAGATGGGACTGGTTTAAGTATCAATGTGGAACTTTACTAATAGTTAAAACTTTTGGTTAAGTGATTACCATTCCGTGTTCACCCATAGATTGATATCAGAGCGAGGACGGATACTCGATTCCTGCCAAAAACGAGAGAATCGTGGAATCGTAGTAGGATCGTCGCTATACCTTTTGGCGAAGAGGCTACCGCTGCGTGCTCAGCTTTGATATCAGAGCGAGTACGGGTTCGATTGATTTCAATAATTCTGATATACCAGGTGTGCTTGAATGCGTATAAAGTAAACAGAAAAATAAAATAAAATACATAATAAGAGTGAAAGTATAAATATATTTTTAAAATTGTAGGACTTTTCATAAAAAAATCATATAACACACCAATGATTAAAAAAAAAAACTCTATAATCATCCTTAATTGATTGTGAATTCTGATGCCACGGATCTTGAATTCGCAATTAATCATCTGTTTTTTCGATTATAATAATAATAATAATAATAATTATTATTATTATTATACAAATATAATAATAAACACATGTATTTTTTTAAATAAAATAACCATAATGGTTTAGCTTTTATTACATATATTTTACTAAACAATATCCTTTTTTTTTCTACTTAATTTCTCTCCATCTATTTTTTATTTTCATACCAAAATTACTTGAATGGTTTTTGTTTATTCAAAATTGAGATGATTATGTATAAAATTAAGATTGTCAAAATAGATGGTTAGATTAAAAAATTGATACCTTAAATTTAATTAAGTTTATTTTGATTTGTCTTATTAGATTATAATCTACATGTTAATTTGTAAACTTAGACTTAAACCAAATTAATTTATAGACCTACGTGCACATTCATTTTATAAAATAATGATTATTTTTTAAATAAATATAAAATAATATTATTTTATTACAAATATATATGAATTATAAATTAATTTAACAAAAAATTAACTTATTTTAAAAATAAATATTAGAGTAAATATCAAGATATAATAATTGAGATTAATTACTATTTTAGATCAATAAATTACTAAAATAAAAATTATGACAATAAAAGGTAAGTTTTTAACTTTTATTTTGAGATTGGATGGACCATTATCTTATAATTTATATATTAAATTATTATATTTAAAAAAAACTAATTTTAATAATATAATTAAAATTTTAAAAATTAGTTATTTATAAATAATTTATTTATTAGTTATTTTAAAATTTTTAATTATTTTTTAAATAATTAATTTTTAATCCCATCTTCTTCTCTTTTATCTTTTTACTTTATATATATATATATATATATATATATATATATATATATATATATATATTTCTTTGTTCAAATATTTTATACTATCCTCAAAGAAAAATATTAGTAAGAAAAATTAATAAATTAAAATTTGACTAATCCAATAATAATAATAATAATAATAATAATTATTATTATTATATTATATTATGTTAAAAAGTTAAACGTAGAATCTTAAAAAAATTGTCTTTTTTAAATTATTAGTAACTTTTTATAACTAAAAACGGAAAATTCTAAATAAAGAAAACAAAATTAGGTAAATGATATTCATGTAAATATCTTGTACTATCTTCAAAATAAAAAATATTATTAAAACAAAATAAGTTGATTATGAAATTAAATTTATATCAAATTGATCATAAAAAATTAACATAACGACTTTGAAAAAGGGTCTAAGTTTCTTTTTAATTATTAGTTGTGTTTCTATGTTAAATTTAGAAAAGTCTAAATAAAGGAAAAAAAAAAACTTAAGCAGTGAGAATTGTCAAACAAAACCCTAATAACTAATAAGAGTTTATTTTTTAGTAAAGGTGGTCAAAATTTAAACATATAGTTTGTTAAAATTTTAATTAAAAATAATTGTAATACTAATTGTAGCGTTTGACAAAAATATGTCATAAAATTTGTTAAAAATTTAATTAAAAATAATTGTAATACTAATTGGGAGTTTGACCTAAATATATGTAATGAAAGTGAGTTTAAATGAACTTACGTTGATTTTTAAATTTATTATATTACTATTATAACTTATTTGTTACCACAATCACTCTAATAAGATAAATCTATTAATATTTGAATAAACTCTTTTTATAAAAATTAAAATAATTCATTATGATCAAAATTAAATAAATTATATCATGATTGAATTTTAATACATCATAAAATAAAGTCTAATGAAATTATATGAAAATAAACAACAATCAATTTTTAATAAGAAAAGATATATTAAACTACTAATTAAAATCATTCTCCTTACTGGTGAATTGGTTTCTTTTGGTTTTAATTTTTTATTGCAATTTTGTTGGGGTTTTTAGTTGTAGATTGGTCGAGCTTTCGTGCTGTTAAATGAAAATTTAGGTATTGGATTTGTGGATGAAACTTTTTGGGTAAATTAAAATGTTTAGAAAACTGCTTTTACTTTAAAAGTGATTACGGTTTTAAATTGAGGTTGGTGGTTTCATTGCTTACATTTTGTTGGGATATTTGCTTGTACTTTCAATAGGTTTTACTTTATGGGTTAAGTATTCTGCTTTCCTGCTCTTTTTTTTGAGCTTCAACTTTTATTTACATGTTTAAGTTTATATGCTCTAGTGGTATGATATTACTATTGTTAATGAGATTTGAGACCAACTAAATATGAATGGATTCCATGCTAAACTATTATTAAATTTATTAATAGTTAATCCATCCTTACTTTCTCACAAATATGAATGATGACTTATAATAGTATGAGATAATTTTCACTAGTACAAAATGAGCTTTTAACATCGGTTTCCAGTAGTCTTCTACATCGGTTCTACAACCAACATAGATACAATCGATGTAAAAAGTTTGTAAGTTTTAACATCGGTTAAGAACTGATGTAGAAAGTCGGACTTTCCACATCGGTTATGGTCTAGAACCGATGTAGAAAATTATTTTTTCAGACTTTCCATATCGGTTCTAGGCCATAACCGATGTGGAAAGTCTAAAAAATGACTTTCTACATCGGTTCTAGGTCATAACCGATGTGAAAAGTCTATTTTTTTTAAATGCGAATTTTATTTTTTTATTTTTAACTTGTGTAGTATTTTAAATATCTCCAACTACCGAGAATGTTAATCTATAAAGGACATGCATCAACACACATGAGTAAACATAATGTATATTACATAATAACAAAAAATGAATCTGTATTGTATTCTAAGCTTGTATATACAAAGAAAATAGTCCTAATGTTTCACAATTAACTATTCAATTAGGACTATAGTTCTTAATAACAAAATCTGCCCAAAGTCGTCTAATGTCATCAATTTCTACTTCACTTATTGGATGACCATCTTTGAATATCTACAAATAGTAAGAAAAACATTTCAGATAAGCACAAGTAGGAAAATATATGTCAATGACATATATAGTCATAACACATACCAAATTTCATGAATCTGTGATCTTTTCTGTGATGATAGTTAACATATGTCTCATCACATAATATCCGCACTCCCAACTTTCTTTTTGCTTATTACACTATAAGAAAAATAAGAAAAAAACATTAAGTACAACATATGAGTAAGTTAAAGCTAAGAATTTGAAAGATAATGTCGTTATAGATGTGGAAGTATCCATGTTGGTTTCTTTTTAGGCTTACCCTCCATGACTAAGAATGCTTCCATACACCTATAAAAGATTAAATGAAAATACTCCATATTAAGAGATGTGAAACTTAAAATTAAATGAATGAAGTATTATACAAGGGCGTTAGCATACTTACACATCAATAATCTGTTTGATTTCCTTTTTGGGTTTATTCCATAAGGAGCATAACAAGACAATCTCATTACGTTTAGGACAAAAGATAAGCAATTGCCAATGACACCTACAAAAAATGTCACTCAATTAGCAATTCTTAAGTGATTCAAAGTTTGAGAGTAAGTAATTTAAATAAAAACATAAGACTTACATTAACTAGACTTGGAGAATTGTGATGCAAATCATGTCTTGACTCAAAACAACATCCATCATGTCCTTCTGACTTAAGTACAAGGTGATGGGCTGCAGATTCCCAATCACATGAGGGTCCATCTGGATCTGTAAAGGTATATGCTTTCCTAGCTTGTAAGCTAAGAGGCATAACATTTGTATCGGATCTGAGTCCAGTTCCTCTTCAACTTTCTCCTTCCCTTTCTGCTGGGCACAAATGTCCTATACACGTCAAAGAATTAAATTAAAATTAATGATAAAATAATAAAATCATAAACATGTATCAAATTATTAAAGAAAAGATATAATACCTTATCAATAGGAAACTGGATATGCACTCTAGGCCACTGAATGAAATGACCGGGAGCCTCCCCCATTGTTTTAACCTCGTCGGATGGAAAAGGAAAAAGAGCTTCATGAACTTCCACCCTTTCAACCACAACACGAACAGAGGAATCTGTCATTTGGACCTCGTGTATAAGTGGCCCCAATGTATGCACAGTACCATAAGCCACTAGCAAGCCTTCCTGTGTGAACAACTTGCAT